AACTTGTTTGTAGTGGTGTGTTCATAAGAGACCCAGTCTTGTGCCATGTGTATGAATTTTGCATAAATGAAGTGTGGTTGCATTAAATGTCCATGAAGCTTACTACTTCAAACCTTGAGAGTCTTTTATCCTGAGGGAAATTTGCAATAATGTGAAGGAGCTTGCTATTTGCTTAAAAGGAACTCTTGTTGGAAACAATGCAATTTTCAGTGATTTAAAGGTGAAAAATCTGGACTTCATGGTGTCAGTAGTAAAATTGGTGGCCATAAGCTATTCTCTGGGTCTGCCAGGGCACAATTGTCCCTGTAATGGTTTGCCCATGGTTGTCATTTTATGTTTTGAACAGTATGTGACAGAGAGGTACCCAAAGCACATTGCTGAAACTTAAGATGGAACTTCCTCTTAATTATTTCAGCAGTTTCCTTAGAAAATTCATTGTGAAGGGATATTATATACTTTACCCAGCTAATATGATCAGTGCCTTTTTTAAAGTCACCAGTTGTTTCTCTGAATTGAGATATGTAGAGGAAAATTCTTTTTTAAACTGTGCAAAGGTAACTTGAAAGTTACTGTTTTATAGTTGTGCCTTTTTATAATAGATATGCAAGGCTAGGAAACTGAAAGATCTATCTAGAGATATAAAAGTTTCTTTCATTTTCTGAGTATTCTTAGCTATGAGAGTAATCATGGGTATTTCCTCAAATGTCAGGAAGTAGGAAGTATCACATTTTGGCCCTGTAATTGCATAATTCAGTGTGCAGTCCTATCTGTAGATGGGGTTATGGCTGCCCTTCCCTTACGGATCTCCCTCTGCTTCCAGCTTGGGAAGCTTGGGTTTGGATGAGCTCAGAGATGTCTGGTTACAAGCAGAGCTCAAGGCTCAGAAATATATCAGGTCCTGAGGAGCTTAAAACCACCTGCTTATAAAAGCTGAAGAACTCAATGTATATTCATTTCCTTCCAGGTATTTGTTTTTTCCTGCTCTAAACTAGTCTCATGGGAATGAATCAGAGAATTGCATAATTTCTAGGACATACAGCCAACTTTTTTTTTTTTTTTTTGAGACATGGTCTCACTCTGTTGCCAGAGCTAAAGTACAGTGGTGTCATCATAGCTCACTGCAACCTCAAACTCCTGGGCTCAAGCAATCCACCTGCCTCAGCCTCCCAAGTAGCTGGGACTACAGGCACACATCACCACGCCTGGCTAATTTTTTCTATTTTTAGTAGAGACAGGGGTCTCACTGTCGCTTAGGCTGGTCTCAAACTCCTAAGCTCAAGTGATACTACTGCCTCGACCTCCCAGAGTGCTAGGATTACAGGCATGAGCCACTGCACCCGTTAGGGTCCAACTTTTAATGGGAACTAAGACCACAGATGAATAGTAATAGTGGTTTTCAAGACTCTCCTAAAATCTGCCAAAACTTCGGAGAAGTATCATGAATTGATTTGGATTAATAGTTTATGGGATGATATAAACTGCATCAGTTATTTGATGTTGAAAAGGGGATCATAGGAATGAGTATCTTGAAAGTTGATTCATTCAAGACAGATTTTGCAGGAAACTTCAGTACATTGGTGATTAGCTGTTGAGATTTAACTAAATCTAGATGGTAGAGAGAAATGTTAAGGACTCTTACCTCTAGTAATCCTGAAAGTTAGAACATTTAGCTGATAAAATATTGTAGGAAAAGGAAATTGTGTCTGATAAACGCTGCCAAGTGTTCATTATGTGATTGGCTGACTTGAGGGGGGGTGGAGTTTACAAAGGATTATTAAGCTGACGTGTCCATTGCATGCAAGTGAGTTGTTCTGTTCCCTCATCTACACTTAGGGACCCAAACTTGTAGAGCTCCCACCTGATCTGGAGGTTGCCCACCACCATGGTGGGGGTGGAGGGTCCTCAGCATTGGCTCTTTCCTTATCAATCCAGTATTATTATTCCTGATTATATCTGAGACCTTAAACCTTGCAGAGTTTCCAGCCTTCCTGTGATGCTGGAGTTTTTCTTAATTCAGAACCTTTAAAGAGGAGTCAGCAAGGCAGGGAGAGAGTGGGATGACTCACTCCTTGCTTCTTTTTCTCCCCTTCCCCGTTAGGAACCGTCGCTAACCAAGGAGAAGGGGACATGGCTGAAGTATTGGGCTTGGCACTCCACTGGGGTATTTTGGGGCCTCCAGCTAGGGATACCTCCTCAGAGCAACGGGGGGGCAGAACTAAAATTTCAGCAACCACTCGGGGGGCAGGGCCAGTAGGGGTTAATTACACAAGCTCACCAAAGCCCTTTGGGATCTAAAGGACCCTGTATGTTGCTACCTTGAGCTCCCCAGACACTCTACAGAGGCTCTTGTAGCCCTAGAATAGCTTATGGTAGTCATTCCAGATGACGTACTGGAATCTCGGTGACAGCTCTATTTGCTTTTCTCACGGAAAGGAATAACAGGTGTCTACAGTCTCATGAAGGATGGAAGCTGCTGCTCATGGAGTACCCTGTCCTGTCAGAGTATCTTGCTAAGTGTTCTGTGTAGTTTCCATTTATTCTTACAACCACCTGTGAGGTTACTCTCAGCGCCATATAGTTAGTAGGTATGAGTCCTAGGGTTAGAACAGAGCTCTGACTCCTCATCCTATAATCTTTTACTCCAGCACTCTGCCTTTTCCATAAAGTATTAACCTGAAAGAATATTTTAAATAGTATCTGTTTTCACACCTTAAACATTCAACCTGAGAACTAGGAAAGCAGAGAGTAGTATTATTTTAGAGAAAGGATTAAATGTAACTACAAAGAAATGTTTCTTAACCTTTTTTTTTTTTTTTTTTTTTAGAGATGGGCTTTCACTGTGTTGCCCAGGCTGGCCTCGAGCTCCTGGACTCCAGTGATCCTCCTGCCTTGGCCTTCTGAGTAGCAGAACTGTAGACTCGTGCCACTGTGCCTGGCTATTTTCTTGACTTTTATTTTGAAATAATTTGAGACTTACAGAAAAGTTGCAAAATTAATACAAAGAAGTCTCATAAACCCTTCATGCCAATTCCTCACATATTAACATTTTACCACATTTGCATTTTTTCCTCAATAATTTAAGAGTACAGTCACAGACATCATATCTAAATACTTCAATGTATATTTCCTAGCAAACAAGGACATTCTGTTGCGTGACTGTAGTATATTAATCAGTATCAGGAAACTAACACTGATCCAAGTACTTTAATCTACAGACTATATTCAAGTTTGGCTGGTTGTCCCACTGCTGTCTTTGTGGCAAAGGAAAAGAAAACGTATGTTATTTTTCTGATCCAGGGTAAATGTAGGACCACTTGTAGCATTCATTTGTCATGTCTCTTTAATGTCCTTTAGTCTGGAACAATTCCTCAGCCCGTGACCTTGATATTTTGAAGAACACAGGCTACTTATTTTGTAGAATTTCCCTCAATTTGGATTTGTCTGATGTTTCCTCGGGATTAGATTCTGATTATGCATTTTGGGGCAGGAATACCACCGAAGCAATGTTGGCCTTTCCCAGTGTGTCCTATCAGGAGGCAGCTGGTGCTGGGGATGCCTCATTCCTGGGGAGGAGAACTGTGATCCCTTGGTTCAGGTGGAGTCTGTCAGGTTTCTCCACTGTGAAGTTACTATTTTCCCTTTCGTAACGAATTAGTATCTTCTGGAGAAATATTTTGAGACTGTGTAAATATTTCTATTTCTCATTCAAGGGTTTAGCCCTGAGTTTTAATGTCAATTGATGATTCTTGTTTGAGATGATTATTATTGTGATGGTTGTCAAATGGTATTTTCTAATTCTATCATTCTTTCTATGGTAAGTAAGAGCTTTTTCTTCCCTCATTTACAAATAATCTGTCTGCTTTCATGCTAGAATTTGGACTTTTTTTTTTTGCCAAATATGGTGTGTTACACATAAGTTGTCTGGGAGATATTCGTGTTCAAGTTCATGCTCTGTAAAAGTATTCCATACTAAAGTGTCAATGCAAAGTGAAAGAATAATCCTGCTTCAAATATTCATGTAGGACAGTCCATTCTGGTTGTCATCTCTCAGGTCCAATGATGATGTTTTATTTCTGTCTGTGTCCATCTGCATTTGCCATTGCATACATCTTCCTTCCCCCTTCTGGGTTCTGTTTCTGCCACTTTGTCTAGAGCCCAAATGGCTTTTGCTTTTTTTTTTTTTTTTTTCTTCAGTACTTACAAGAATTAAGGAAAAAATTATGTGAGATTGTAGCAGTGATTTCTCTGATCTGCAGCTTCAGATGAGTGTAGTGTCAGAATCTTTTACTTAATTAAATCAATGAGAAAAAAAATTTTTAGGCCTTAGGACAGAGGAAAAGAGGTGACCCAGTAGGAGGATTTAGTATAAGCAGCCATCTGTGGTTGGTCAGTGTCTCCCAGCTAGTAAGTCTGATAGAACACTTACCTCCTGGGGCTCCAGGGCAGTTGCCACAATGCGCACAAATCTACCACTGACTGCCCCTTCCTGTTCTTCTGAATTTTTTCTGTAGGTGGAAACTAGTTGTCATTGATGGTCTCCCTTTTTTTCTTCTTCCCTTCTCTGATGAAGGAAGATGAAAAAAAACCTTCTAAGAAGTTTAGGGAGCAGGAAGTGAATTATGATATCTAGAATGATTAGGAACCGAGAAAAATCTGATTTCTTGATATTTTTCTTTCAAATGAAATTAAAATTGCAATGGCAGCAATTTATTTCTTGATTTAGAAGGCATTTATAGGGTTTGTTTGGATCTGCAGGTTGACATTTTAAACCCCTATTGTTGTCCAACCTTGAAAATCTTGGCTTTTCAAACTCAAATTTTAGAGAAGTAGAACTTTTTGTTGATTATACTTACTTAAATTTGAGGTTTCCTTCAGTTTCCAATCCTTGTGACTGCTAGCAAATTTCCTGGAGTCATAAAGAAGTCTCTCAAGGAGTAACTAATACTCATAAGCTCAGGTTTCTCTGAATCCTCCTTGACCGCTGGATTTTCTTACTGTAGGAGGATCTCCTGATGCAGTCCAGCAAAGAACTTTTATGTGCGGACCTCCCTGAAGATTTTCTAAGGAGCAAAGGTATTTATTTCTCTCAAGTCTTTTCCTTTTTCTACTTACTACAAACACTGTTTTAGTTCCCAGTTTGGGGCCAGGTGTGGTTGCTCATACCTATAATCCCAGCATTTTGGCAGGCCAGAGCAGGTGGATTGCCTGAGGCCAGGAGTTCAAGACCAGGCTGAGCAACAGAGTGAAACCCCTGTCTCTGCAAAAAATAAAAAGAATTAGCCAAGTGTGGTGGCAGGTACCTGTAATCCCAGCTACTTGGGAGGCTGGGGCAGGAGGATCACTTGAGTCCAGGAGTTCAAGGCTACAAGTGAGCTGTGATCCCATCACTGCACTCCAGCCTGGACAACAGAGTGAGACCCTGTCTCTTCAAAAAAAAAAACAAACCAAAACACGGTTTCCAGTTTTCATTTTTTTTTTTTTTTTTTGAGACAGAGTCTCACTCTTTTGCCCAGGCTAGAGTACCGTGGTGTCAGCCTAGCTCACAGCAACCTCAAACTCCTGGGCTCAAGCGATCCTACTGCGTCAGCCTCCTGAGTAACTGGGACTACAGGCATGCGCCACCATGCCCGGCTAATTTTTTCTATATATTTTTAGTTGTCCAATTGATTTCTTTGTATTTTTAGTAGACGGGGTCTCACTCTTGCTCAGGCTGGTTTTGAACTCCTGAGCTCAAACAATCCGCCCGCCTGGGCCTCCCAGAGTGCTAGGATTACAGGCGTGAGCCACTGCTCCCGGCCTTCCAGTTTACATTTTGCATTGAGAATATAAGAGTTAGAGGTCCCTGCCTTGTAAGATAGACTTAACTATAGAAATTTCTTGATATTGCCCATGATGTACTTGAACACACCTAGTATTATCAAGCAGTGCCTTGTTTGTGACAGTAGTTTGCTTCCCACTTTTTCCATAGTGAATCCTCCCTCCATCAACAGTGTGTTGAACCTTTATTGCTGATGTAAAATCTTTTATTTGATTTTGTATCATCAAACATATATGCCTATTTGGAAGAGTTAATGGGACAGGGGAGGAATTCACCTGGTATGGTTCAGCACATGGGAGCGCATCCTGTTCTTTTTCCCTGGGGTCAGGTATGAGAGAAAATGTTTACTCCAGGTCACCTTGAGAGTTTTCAAGGCAGTTTCATTTCCATTATCTTGTTTTGCTCCTCAACACGATGGTTGGGTATAGGCATCTGCGATATTACTTTTAGATTGATTGAGGAGGAAACTGAGGCTCAAAAGAGAGTAGCAGAGCCAAGATTCTCCTCCTCCCCCCACCCCCAGGCTAAAAATAATCTTGAGTATCTTTAGAGAGGACTATGTGCTTATATTATAAAGCACATAGTATATAAAGTTAACAATATAGAATAATCAGAACTTCAAAAAGGGAAGATAAAGTAAATACATTAAATTACATGAGCATTTTGTTACTGTGGTGTAACATCAGATTTGACTCTCAGCTTCTTGGCAGCCTGGACAGAAAAGGAAGCACAAATCATTCTTATGAAAAAGGACATTTGTCCCAGTTTATCACTCTGCTTCCTGCTGCTGCATATTTTCTCTGTGGCTCAAAGACGAGACTGTCCAGTATAGATTAAAGGACATTGCCGTGAAGACGAGAAATGTTATTTTGCACATAGATCTCACCTTGTTCTTAGGGCCTTACTAGGGATGCAATTAGTGGCCACCCCACCCCCAAGATCTTTTCAGGGGGGCTCTAATATTGCTATATCCAATCTCTGGTATATTTTCAACCACAATCTTACCACAAAATTTACTGTCTATATGTAGAACTGCACTTTCATTAAACCACTGAACTGGCCTTTAAACAGGGGAACCAGAGTTCTTTTCTGCTTGCAAGTCTGCCTTTTCAAACTTACCTGGCCTGCTCTCCACCTCAAAAGCTGACACACATTGGACATAAATAAGATGAGCCCCTCTGAAGAGTGTTCTCAGATAAACTACTCTGTAACACTTTTCTTCCTATTCGAACACCATTCTTATTTCATAATTTAAATTAGTAAAATAAATTATTTGGTTTTTTTCCCCCCAAAGCCATACTAAACTGATGAGGGAGCTTGGAAGAGCAGCTGTACTAGAGTTTTTAGCAGCAGTGGCCTAGCACCTAAGATTCAGTGCCCCAAGAACCTTCTAAGGTATTCCTATGTTACACATGAGGAAGCAAGCTCAGCTGTCCAAAGTCACAGCCAGTCATAGCAAGGCAGAAAAGAAGGTTCTGTGAAGGCATTGAGCCCTGGAAGTGTGATTAGTACATGGTATCACCATGGATATGATTTAAATAGACCCACATGCTCTTCTGTAGTGTAGCCAGCATTGCAGCTTGTTTTGCCAGGGTCAAGGACAAGTATATACTGCCTTATCTTTACTACAAAATTGAGAACAAAATGATGCTTCTTGGAAATCTAGCTGTACTCTGTCCCTAGGGGCCGCAGCTGCCAAAATTTTTACTCTGCTCCAGATTTAAGGTTTCTGACGAAAATCGAATATGTCCTTGCTACCTTTTTTTTATTAAGTGTTTGCAGTGCTATAAAACATTTTGCATACGAGTTCTGTGTTGAACACTGTACAAATTGCTTTATACAGTTTTATTTATATTATATTTTGGTTACCCTGAATGGGAGGACTTAAGTGTACTAGTTTATAAATTTACCAAGGAATCATTTTGGATCCTCTACACTGAATTATTTGGTAAGTGAACCTGGGCTACTATATTGTCACCTCAATGCATTATTTTTCCTTCTCTATATAATAATGTCCCACTTACAGTACTACCAAGGTACCATGGTTGGTATTCCATAGTTTTTTTTTTTTTTTTTTTTTTT